ACGGATGCTCCCATTGCCCCTGGCATCATGACCAATGTTCTTCGGCACGCCGTGAACAGGTCCTTCAACTCCATCACCGTGGACGGGGATACCTCTACCAACGATACCGTCGCTCTGTTGGCCAACGGCGCCGCAGGCGGCAACGAGGTGTCATCCGAGCAGTCACCCGACTACGACGTCTTCCAGACGGTGCTGACCGACTTTGCTACTGATCTAGCCAAATACCTTGTCCGCGACGGCGAGGGCGCCACCAAATTTGTCACCATTCGCGTGGTCAACAGCGCCTCTGAAGAAGCCGCCAGCCAAGTCGCGCGAGCCATTGCCCTCTCGCCGTTGGTCAAGACTGCGCTTTACGGCAGGGACGCTAACTGGGGCCGTATTCTGTGCGCAGCTGGCTACGCACTTATCTCCAAGCCCGGACAGCCTGTGAACGATGTCCCCGAGATTGTCCCCGAGAAGACGAGCGTTTCGTTCATTCCCACCGACGGGTCCGAGGAGCTCAAGCTGCTGGTCAATGGTGAGCCGGAGGTTGTCGATGAGAAGCGGGCGAGCGAGATTCTAGAGATGGAAGACTTGGAGATCCTAGTGTCTCTGGGCACTGGTGATGAGAGTGCTGTGCATTGGACCTGCGACCTCAGCCATGACTATGTTACCATCAATGGGGATTACCGGACCTGAGCGTTGAACGATGTCTTGGTCACAGGAATGTAAAACCTGTTGGTAGTTTCATAGAATAGTTGCAAGGCGTTTTATATTCAAGACTAGCACCAAGCACACGCCTTTATTGATGTGATGGAATGTATGGCGCGTCAATACACACCAAGTATCGCCAACAAAGTTGGTATATTGAGAACTTTTCTTTTTTTTGACCTCTAGATTTTAAACCCGTCTATGCATGACTCCGACATGTATCATACTGACAGCCCAACCCACCGGGTTTAAGCACTCAGTGTACCCTTCGTACTAGGAACCTCACCCTCCTTGCCCTTGACCCTCGTCGTAGCCATCTTGATGGCCACAGCCAAGGCCTTAAACGCACTCTCAGCCCGGTGATGATCATTATCACCCCGCAGGCAGTCGACGTGCAGTGTAACGCGAGCACCCTGCGCAAAGCTCTGCAGACAGTGAGGTACCATCTCTGTGCTCAGTTTCCCCAGCCATTCGCGCTTCAGCCCCAGATCAATCACGCTATAGGGACGGTTTGACAGGTCGACGACAGCCCGGGAAAGAGCCTCGTCCAGCGGAGCATATGCGTATCCGAATCGAGCGACACCGGCGAGGCTGCCGAGTGCCTGGTTGAAGGCGTATCCGAGAGCAATGCAGCAATCTTCAGCAGTGTGGTGGTCATCGACTATCCGCAGAGTCAGGTCAGCTTTCTACGCATTTTTTTCCCCTGTCGGTGTTTTGGGGGACAACGAACTGTGAAGATCGCCCTCGCAGTTGATTGCAAAACTCCAGCCCGCGTGCTTGGCTAGCGCATGGAGCATGTGGTCGAGGAAGCCGATTCCAGTGTTTACTGAGATGATTTGCGATTTGCTGGACTGGGAGGCGTGACCGGTGGTGGCTTTGAGCAGACGGGCATCCGTGTCGGCTGGGAATTCGCCGCCGTCGAGGTTGATGGCGAGTTGGATCTTGGTCTCGTTGGTGTCGCGGGCGAGGGCGGCCGATCGGACGGGCAAAGGGGATCCCATTGTGTTGAATTGACTGGATTGTGCTTTTGGGTGGTTTACTCCGGTCTCGTTGAAGGGATGGAGGGGGAACTATGTCGGTGGAAATAACTCTTGGATGGCTGACCCAATGTGAGTCGAATTGGTTGCCTGTCAGGGTCCAGATGTCCTGTATCGGCGACAGCCACTCTTCGGTCGACTTTTGCCAATGTTTCGCTGCAAACGACGTTGGAGGACTTGGGGGGCGTGTGCGCTGGAGCTACCCCGCTGGTCTTGAGCCCACGCCCCCGGAGCGGTCTGTTGTGCTGTCAAGGTTGTTGCACCACCAATTGAGACGCGCTTTGCATCGCGCTTGCAACAAAACACCAATTAACCTGGCTGGTGATTCAAGCGGGCAACACCATGCCGCCTCGGACCCCACGACACCACAGTCTACAATAAGTCCTTATTGCTTTATTTCTTCTCCCACCCATGTGCGCCACAGTATGGAAAAATTCTTGAGGGATTGGCGGCAAGATGCCCTGAACAAAGCCCAGTACGATGCGGCCATTTTCATCGGCGACAAGCTCTTGGCCCTGACCAGTCAGTTGTGTCCTTGAACAAGTCTCTCGTCCTCAGCATCAAGCCCTAACGCAGTCATCTATATCACGTCTCCAGACGACGACCAGGACGCTTTTTGGCTCGCCCAAGTCCACTTTGCTACGGGCAACTACACTCGCGCTCAGGCCTTCCTCTCCAAACAAGACCTCATCTCCCGAAACCCATCCTGTCGCTATCTCGCAGGCCACTGCCTTATCAAGCAGTCTCGCTACGAAGAGGCGCTCGTGGTACTCGGAGAACGGAACCCCACGCACCTGATATCCAACGGCGGGAGCAACAAGCGCAAGTCACAGCCCCGTCACGGCAATCGGCGGCGCGATGGCGAGGTGGACGAGGAAGAGGCGGCCAACCGGCGATTCGAGGCGGCCATGTGCTTCCTGAGGGGAATATGCTACGCCAAACAAAACGCATTTGATCGAGCCAAAGAATGCTACAAGGACGCTGTACGGATCGATGTTCGGTGTTTTGAGGCCTTCCAACAGCTGATGAAGAATTCGCTGCTGTCGCCAGACGAAGAATGGCAATTCCTCGAGAGCTTGGACTTTGACTCGATATCAGTTTCGGGGGATCTATCTTCATCGCAAGAAGCTGCAGACTTTACCAAGATGCTTTACACTACCAGGTTATCAAAATACCGAAACCCAGCTGCTTTCGAGACGGCGTACGATTCTCTCTCGACACATTATCATTTATCCGCAAACCCCGATCTTCAACTGGCGCGAGCTGACCTTTTGTACACGCAATGCCGCTATCAGGACGCTCTCGCCATTACCAACGCGATTCTGCTAGAGGACAAGTATAATTTCTCCATTTACCCAGTCCATGTCGCCTGCCTGTACGAACTCAAGATGAAGAACCTGCTCTTTCTGGTGGCGCATGACCTCGCCGACACGCATCCCGAGGAGCCATGCACGTGGCTAGCGGTCGGAGTCTACTATTTTGCGATTGACAAGATTGCAGAAGCCCGTCGATATTTTAGTAAAGCTAGTATGATGGATGCTCATTTTGGGCCGGCCTGGATTGGCTTTGCGCACACATTCGCAGCCGAGGGAGAGCATGACCAGGCCATCTCGGCGTACTCGACCGCCGCACGGCTCTTCATGGGCACTCACCTGCCGCAGATTTTCCTCGGCATGCAAAACCACGCCCTCAACAACATGGCGCTGGCGGAGGAATTCCTCAAGACGGCATACGGTTTGTGCAAGACTGACCCGTTGCTGCTCAACGAGATGGGCATTGTCAAGTACCACCAAGACCGGCCCCGAGACGCGGTGCAATACTTTGAGGCAGCTCTTGACATTGCCGAAGAGATCAACAGCGAACCGGGGGCATGGATTGCCACCAAGACAAACCTGGGCCATGCGTACAGACGACTCCGGCAATTTAACAAGGCGCTGGATGTGTTCAACGACGTGCTAAGGCTGGGCGGTAAGGACGCGGCCATCTTCAGCGCAAAGGGCCTCATCTTGATGGAGCAGAACCGGCCAGAAGAGGCGGTGTCGGTGCTGCACCAGGCGCTGGCCATCAACCCGCAGGACAGCATCGCCACAGAACTCTTGAACAAGGCGCTCGAGGAGACGGTGTTGGCCGATGGCGCTGCGGAGGAGGAGGCGGACGACCTGGCCGACTTCGAAAGTCATCTGGACCAGAAGAAGTTGGAGGCGGCGCAACGGGTCAATGGACGCCGGGCTGGGCGCGGCATGCTGGACAAGGGCAAAGGGAGGGTCACTAGGAGACGGACCTTGCTGGACGATGAGGATAAGGGCGAGAGCATGATGGAAATGACGGACGACGAAGAGTAAGGAAGGAAGGCATTGGGATGGCGAGAGGCATGCATCTTGATATGGTTGCAGACGGCGTTTGATGGACTTTTTTTTTTTTTTTTGGTAATGGCATACTTGGCAGGTATACTTCAAAATGGAAGCGCTCGATTTTACGTTGTTTACTGCAAAAAGGGGCAGCATCTAACAGGTTCCTCGTGAGCTCAATCTTTGTGGCATGCCGTGTATCCTCACCCAGTCTCACGTTTGATAGTAGATGGGCGAGACGACAGGGAAGCGTGCGAATTGAGGCGCTCGCATTCGCATCTGACATGTCCTTGACCGTTGGCGCGCTCCACTAGCCCGTTTGTCAACATCAGCCGTCGTCTGCGTATCCTGAAGGACGAGCTACGCTCTGATATACCGTTTGTTGGTCATCCGGGCCAATACCACCCCTGCTGTTAACCCGCAGTGAGTCGTTTGATTCAGGGAGCACATCGCAAGGTCTTTGGTCCGCGTCCGCGTCCCCCGCTCCCTGCTTTCAACCTCGAGACAGCAACGCTTCAGCCCCAGCCCCCGATGTGACCATTGAAGACGAGTCAGCCAGAGAGTGATGCAGCATCAAGATGCCTATCCAATTTAAATGACGAAATAACCTGCTTTTTCTTTGCGCCACGAACCCTCTGTACAAGACAACGATGCTTGGGGCTCTCAAACAGAGTTCCATCAGTCCGATGGTCGAGGCAAAAAATGAAACTCTTGGGTAGATAGTGTCCCCAAGAGTTATACAGTAAGCTTAGTCACCTCACACGTTGAGATTGAGTAGGCGGCTTGGTCACCGAGACTGGATTAAAAGAAAAAAACATATTACAATGCTTAAAAACAGGTCTTTTGTTCTTATATAGCAAATGCTTGGCTAGACTTCAAAGACAAGGACGCATCTTCCATCTGGCAGGACTTCTTTCAGTGCATCATGCTCGCACGCGCCGGCGATTTGCTCCCAAAGAGTTGGTCCTGCAAGAAGACGCTAGTCGCTTTAGAGGTGCAAGCTGCCCGCCAGACCCGCAGCCTGTCAAGTCAGCCCCACCACCCGCAGCCGGGGCCACCGGTCCCCGCTCTGCCCTCTGCGGGGCGCGTCATCACGAATAGCGCCGGGGCTGATTGGCCGCTTGTTAGTCGACAGGACGACGGTCACCAACAAACGAATATTTACAACCGCAAGCATTCGCCCAGCGCCGCCAGCAGCGTGCGTTATTCCCCGGCGGCGCAAACACTCGCAGAGGCCAAGCTATAAACAGGGAGCCGCCTACTCGCTCGTCATCCGTCGTCATCTGGGGCACAACCTAGCCGGCGGCCCTCGAATCGGTAAAGGCACAAAGTCACACCACACCAGGCACCTCGCTCGACATCGCCACCCGACTCGCTTGCGCCGCAATGTCGCGCTACTTCCCGCACACGTCGTACGCAGAAGACCAGCCGCTGCCGCACGTCGTGCTCGCGGCGCACGTGCTCACGCGCTCGCTGGCGGCAGGATCCCTCGTCGGGCTGGGCGTCACGGCCGCGAGGCAGGCGGTGCCGGCGTGTCGCACCGCATCTTGAGGGCGTCGTCGGCCGGCGCGCTCTGGGGCCTGGGCGTCGGGGCGGCCGTGGTGGCTGGGCGCATGTACGGCCGGGAGCCCGTCGAGTGGCAGGACAGGAGCTGGCGGCTGTTGGAGAACAGGGGCCAGCTCGAGATGGACGACTGGACGTATCTCGGCATGGGGAGCGGCGTCGCCGCCGCCTGGGCCACGGGCAGTCTGAAGGGCCTGGGCGGGCGGGGAGTGCTGGGGGCCGTGGGCGCTGGAGGAGTGGTTGGCGGGCTGGCTTGGGCGGGCTGGCGGTTTGGCGTGAATGGGGGCAGGTTCAAGGAGAAGCCCAAGGAGGGCGACTTGTGAGGCGGAATGATGTCGGGCTGGTGGTTGCAAATGGGAGGACGGCTGGGATGGCTGGTGGTTGCCCGTGAGAGGGGAGCCGAGACTAAATGAAGGACATGTACGGCCGACGGTTGGCGTTTTTTGTTTTGGACGCAGAGTCTCTGGTTATTTGAATGGCACATCGTGGTGTTGTGATGCTCTCTGGCGCGGATGTGCTCGAGTGTAAACGGGACGTTCGTTTCTGTGCCGACGTTTCAGGCCGGCCACCATCCCTTGACCGGCTCGACATATCGCACGACACCAAGGAACCTTGTCCATCAGCGCTGGCTGCGATGTAGCTCGGTTGATACGATACACGTATGTGATGAGATTCATAATGCAGTGCGGCCTAGGAACGTGGACGACGTCATCTACTCCAATCACATCAAGATGCGTTTCCTACAAAGACCACACAGAACCCCTATAATTCGGGACTTGAAAATCGCATCTATTTCTACTAATCTTGATTCCCAGTCCATTTCACACCACACTACGGCATCAAACAAAAAAAAAACACTACAAAACTCGCCCACCTACAATTTAGCAAGCGGCTCCTCCAGCTCCTCCAGCTTCTGGAACCTGTAAAAGAACTCCAGACTACCCGGGTTCAACAAGGTCCCGCTCGGCTTCACCGTCTTGCCCGAGATGATACTCTTGACCGGCAGCTCGACCTTCTTCCCGTTGACAGTGACGGGGATCTCGGGCACCTGGAACACGTACCGCGGGACATGCCTCTTGGTCAACTCCCTTGCAATCGTGTCCTTGATGCTCCTCACCATCTTCTTGTCCAGCGTCCGGCCCTGCTTCATGACCAGGAACAAGACCACGCGCTCGTCGAGATCACTCGGCCGCCGCTGCCCGACGCACAGCGACTCGGCGACCTCGGCCGGGAAACACCGCTCCAGCACGGCGTAGATGTCCGAGCTGCCGAACCGGATGCCGCTGGGGTTGAGCACGCCGTCCGACCGGCCCAGCATCAGGACGCCGCCAGTCTTGGGGTGGACGACACAAAAGTCGCCCTGCGCCCACGCCTCGTTGAACCGGTCAAAGTACGCGCCGCGGTACTTCTTGCCCGGCGGCGGCGTGTCGTCGTTCCAGAGGAACAGGGGCACGTTGGGGAACGCGGCCGTGGCGACGAGGTCGCCTGCCTGCCCGACGGGGAGGGGCTTGCCCTCGCTGCCGTCGGGGAGGTCGTGGTCGTAGACGGCGATAGGGACGCCCAGGGAGCCGCCGACGCAGCCGCCCACGTGGACGGGCGTCAGGGGGTTTTCGAGAACGAAACAGCCGGCCTGTTGTGTTGTCAGTGTACGTGTACTTGAGACCCAAAAGAAGAAGAAGTTCACGGTTCCGTCCAGGTAGCGTACAATGTCGGTGCCGCCGGAAATGTTGGCGAGCTGGACCTCCGGCGGGAAGGCCTCATCGTAGAACCAATCGAACATCCGGTCGGGCAGTACCATGCCCGTGCTGACCACCTTTCTCAGCTTGGAGAGGTCGGCTACTCTTCTGGGAGAAATCCCCTTCTTCATCAACTCCGTCATCCAGCGTGGGCTGAGGCCGAGCGTCGTGACGCCCTGTTGTTCGGCAACCTTTAAGAGCACGGTTGGGTCCGGGACGAATGGTGACCCGTCGTACAGAACGGCCCTAGATCCCAATAGTAGCTGCGTCACGCTGCTCAGGTACATGATCCACCCGGTGGTGGTGAATTGAAGGCCAACGTCGTCTGGGGTGGTGCCTTTGTGCAGGATACCTTCTTTCTTGGTGCTTATCAGCAAGGGGCCGACGCCGTGAACAATTGCCTTGGGGATGCCCGTCGTTCCAGAAGAGTAGTACACGACCATGGGGTCCTGGAAGCCGATGCGGACCATGGGCGGAGGCTGCTTGCACCCCTTTGACAGGATAAAGTCCTCGAGTCGTTCCGTGTTGGCAATGTGTCCAGTAGGGAAAGGCTGCCGTTTGAACCGCTGCACGACAACCACCTTCTTGAACGACGGGCATTCCTGCAGTCCTTCCATGACGCCTTGGATCTTGTCTCGGAGGTCAAATATCTTGCCATTGTACAGGGCGCCGTCATCAAAGAAGACGTACTGCTCCAGTCAGCAAGTTCTCGTCGGTTCGTCGGCGCCAGCATCGCATCAACCACAACTCACCTTGGGATCAATCTGCGCCGTCCTCTGCAACAAGCCTCCAGCACCCATGTCTGTAGAACTACTGCTAAACAGCCCTCCCAGCCAAGTCGCCGCCAAGAAGACAATCAGCGTCGTCGCCGAATGCGCGCCAACCATGACCACCCGGTCTCCCCTCCCAACGCCTCTCTCCTGCATCGCCGTCGCCAGCTCGGCCACTCTTCTCCGCAGCTCCGCCCACGTCATGTGTCGAACCTCGGTGTTGCCCTCGCGGACTTCTGTGAGGGCAATCTTGGAGTCCTCCTTGTTGAGCTGGGTCCTCGTGCCGGGGGCGTCGTTGACGCTCCGGCTCCAGAGGAAGTTTTCCGCCCAGTTGAGCTGAATGCCGGCGAACCAGGCCGGGAGCTGAGAGACGGGGATGGATTCATCGACGGGCTGCGTGTAGCTGCCTGAGTGGATCAAGGGCATGGTTTCCCAGACAAGAGACCAGAATTGGTTGCGGTTGGAGCATGACCATTTGTAGAGAGCAGGAAAGTCCTAGGATTGTCAGGTTGAGAGAAACCGGATGAAGATGAAATTGCCCCAGCTCACCTGCATATTCAATCCATATTTCGCATTCGCATCTTGCATGAACGCCCACATGGCGGTGCTTTGGGGGTCCGGGTGCTCCCAGAGCTTCCTTGGCGTCTGTGTAAAGTCCATGTTTTGCGAATTATCCGTGGCAGCTATTATTATTATGATGATTCTAAATTTTTATTCTCTTCTCAACGTCAAGGTAATAAATAAGAAGGCTTTATAGGTAGGGAGAAAGAGAAAAGGAGAGAAAAAAAGACACGCGCCTTTAAACATGCAGCTTATAAAAGACGTGGTTGTCGACTCGCTCGTCTGATGCCGATGCCTCAATAAGCCAAGCAGGGATTCCTCATTCTCCACAAACGCCATTGCCGCCTCGGCCAGACTCCAGACAACAAGATTGGCCGACTTGGGCCGCGGAACTGAAAACCTCGGGAATGCATAGCCCCCAATCTCTCCGCCCACGTCGTATCTCGGAACTGCATTGGAACTGACTGCGCGCTGGAAGCAGTTGAGCCGGTTGCGCCGCAGACGGCTGTCGTCGGCCTGGGATCCGAAACTGATGCCGAAAAGCAAACAAAATATCACTCTTCGCATATCAACTTGTTTAACAGAACAAACATCTACTCCGTAGTCCGTAGTCTCCGTATGTCGCTAGTTGACCCATCACGTAACCAATTCCATCATCCATGTAGATGCAGCTCCTTCCCTCTAGCCGTCGGCCGTAATAACTATACACCACCAAGTCTGCGACTGCATAATGAATAACTCTTTTCTTTGTATTGCTCCCTATGCGCAACGGGTCATCAGCCGAGTCACACCACGTAGCCAGTTCAATCAAGCACACACAAGCGTGCTGTACCAACTTCGTGCTCCAATCCTCGCTCCTCGCATTTGAAATACATAGAGACTGCCGTCTTGTCCCTCAAAGCAAAATCAAATCACACCCAAACGCCTTGCTCAAGGATTTCACCACCTTTGCTTCCATTTAACCTGTGCCACATCCCATCATCCCCTTCATCATTTTTATAATCAAAGCCGTACAATTCCACGCCCTCTTCAATGCGCCTACGCCTACAAATATGGCATCCACAGCGCATCGCACTGTGCCAGATTCATAGGGTTCACAGCCTTGGCAATCGCATCAATCACCGTCTGGTTCGCAGGCAGGTTGCCCGACGGGTTGTGCGCCAGGCTCGCCGCGCGCTTGACAATCGAGTCGCTGTTGACCTGCACAGACTCACGCAGCTGGCTCTCGCTGATTCCGTTTCTGTGGCTGCTAGTGAGCCAGAATATCATCTCGTCTCGAACAAATAGCGTCAGTGCATGCTCCAATTCGTGCTCCGGCTCCGTGAGGCAGCGAGCAATCGCCATCAGAGAGCAGGCATAGATGCCCTCAGTAGCCAGCGGACCCATCAGCACCTGCAAGTTGGGTGTTAGGCGGAAGGGGACCGGCTCTGGGTTGTGGAAGAATGGCTTTGATGCGCTCATAAACGACATCAGCTCCGATCCCCAAATTTTGCCTGAGCCCCGTGCAATGTTGAGCTTCGCGGGATACCGGTTGTGCATGTACAAAATATACGTCATAAACGTCAAGGCCGCAAGCTGATAGGAGAACTGCCTTCGAAAGAGCCAAAACTCTGCAAACTGCGGGAATATCTGCTGGAAATAGTCCAGCGCAACTGAAGACGGCACCCACTTCTCTTGGACAGCGTTGAACACTTCCAGTCTTGCCGGCGGTGTGAGTTCAGGCTTGCCCTGCTGTAATAATATGTTAGCCCCTACATCAATTCCCAGCTGAGCTCGGTCAATGCATACCTGGCTCTTGCTTTCGAGCACACCGCGCAACTTTTCAAGTGTGAACAAGACAGGTTCGTCCTTGGAAAAGCCCATTCGTCGACAGTGATCCTCGTAGACTGCCTGCAGCGTGACATAAGAGGTGTCCTCTTGAACGATTCTTATATGCGGGGCAAGAGGAACCATGAGCGGTAGAGTAAACTGCAAATCCCGGCGGCGGCTCTCCTTCTTCCGACCTAGTGTCTGGTTGAGGTGTCTGAATAGCTGCAAGATCCTCTCTTCACGCCTGCAATGGCGCGCTGCCGGGTGTTGTACGGCCCATGAATGAACGCTACCGTCGTGGCCACGCATCTTGAGTCGGCGATATGAGGTGCTGTATGACCGGACTAGATCCACATTTGGAAGGAACCTCTCTATGCGGATGAAGTCTTGGTTTTTGTCCTTGTGTTGGAGGTATTGGCCAGGAACTTCCACCTCGTCAAACTTCTGATATCTGAATTCGCTGAGGTGCGGCGAGTATGCCTCGAGGTGTGCATGACAAACACGTCGGTCCAACTTTTCTTCAAACTTGGTGCGCCAGCGACGCAGTTTGTGAATGTATTCATACATGGTTGGCTTTACATCCACAAAATCGGCTTCAAAGGATTTCTTGATGTGGTTGGGTAGTATCGTCTCAGCAAACCTCGTAATGTTGGTCTCAGTCGCCGACGGCAGCTTCACGCTCTTGGCAAACGAAGCGGGCGTGCGGCTGACGTAGGTTAATGCGTCGTTTAGTAGGGCCACAATCAGTCGGTACGCGTCCTCATCTGGTGGGCACTTGAAGTGTTTCTGAATCTGGTCCACCATGGTCTCCATTGATAGGGCAAGTAGAGGGAAGGCTGTCTTGAGGACAGACATGATCTCCTCGGTGAGCTCCCAAGGCATCTTCTTCTGGTTTGGGTTTGGAGCAGGTGGTTGCTGCTCTTGCTTCTGTCCACTGGCGGCTGGAGCTGGCGGAACGCTGGCAGCGGCGGCTGCTGCGTCACCACCTTCAGTCTTCACTTGGCTGGCAGCGTCTCCCTCTGTAGCAGTGCCTGGCCGTGACGCGCCGCCATCCGACGTTTTGGGTGGCTCAGTCTTGGCTTGCGAAGGCGACAGGCTTGGCTTGCCATTGGAAACAATTGACTGGGCGCGCTGTTGACGGGCTCGCTCCTTGGCCTCCTGGTTCTTCTTTATGAGATTCATGTCCTCGCGGTTGGTCCGAAGCTGAAAATACAGGGCCTGAGGGTACGATTTGGCGATGCTGAGAAGAATCTGGTAAACTCGCGGTGCTTCTTTATGACCCAGGCCGGTTAAAAGCTGGGGAATAAAGGTAATCCAATACCACACAGGCGTTTCACCCTTGAAGTCGTCAAAGCCCATGGCAATGGTGCCCTTTGAGTCATCCAAGCTGAGGAGCCAGAGAATGCGAGCAAGAAGCTTGCGTGACTTAGCGTTCTTGTAACTGCCAGCTGCCTGAAGATACGATGTGAGCGCTTGCCTAGCCGCATTCAAATCTGTGGGATCTTCTTTGAACTTCCTGTCATTGAAGTAGCCCCACTCCGCCCAAGCCTTTGGTGCACCAATGTCAAAGTAGAGCGCAGTCCCGTACGCGTTGTCGGCTTCATCCTTTTGATTGAGTTTTTCCAAGAACATTCCCTTTAACGTGTAGAATTCAGCCTTTTGTTGAGGGTTAAAGTAGTTCAAGTTCGTATTGTTGATAACGTCTAGGCCACTTGAAAGCTCTTCAGGATTCTCATAATGACATTTGGCTTGTTCTCTGAGTTTGAGGAAGGCTTCCTGGATTTCAATATTTGGCAACGTGTAAATGCGGCTCAACTGACTGATGCACACTTCGGGAAGGCTGTGCTTGCGGGCGACGTGGGCAAATCGGTTAATAATCCAGGCAGTCTCGTGATATCCTCGGTATGCAAACGAAGACGCACCACCAGCGTTCTGCTGACCCTGCTGAGGAAGCAGTTGCAAGTAGGTCTGGTTGATGAGACCGAATATGTGTTGCCGCCAGGTCACCAGATCCTGCCATGCTGTAATGTCGTCCCAAACATTAGGTAACCGGTCACGCCAAGCGCCAAGAAGCAGTTTAAGTTCTCCAGACTTGACATCCAGGTTTGAAGAGTTTGTATTTGCCAGGGATTGACAAATGACGCTAGCATCGTGGAGCTCGACCAGCTGCTGGAAATTTTGTAGCAACGGAATATGAGCATTTGTTAATCGCTCTGGAAGTTGATGCCACTTGCGAATGGACAATTGAATGGCCTCATCGCAAACTCTTGCAAAGTCATTGCCGCCCTCCTGTTGATTATGAAACTTGAGGAGAGACATGAATGCCTGAAAAAAGGCTCGTCGGGGAGTGGGAGCATCCATGACACCTTTGATCACGTTGTCTAAGGCTTCACGATGCTGAGCGTCTTGCCACATCTCCGTGTTTCGCCAGGCGCACTCGAGCAATAAATCTTGAAAATTCTCGTGCTTGGCGAAGTCTTGCAATATCTCCCACTGCTGAAGCTTCTGCGCGCAAAGAACCCAGTGATCCTCCCAAAGCATGTACTCTGCTTGGGAGAATGGAATAACGCCGGTACGAGCCTTGATCTGGGCATTTTCGTAGAGTTTCTGCGCCTTGTCCCACATACCATTTTGCTCGTAGGAAAGGCCGGCGTTGGTCTCGACAAATTGGCATCGCCGACGCCACGTACCATAAAACAAGTCTTCTTCTTGCAACGAGGCATAGAGGTCGACCAATGCGTCCAGGTTACTTTCTCTGACAGTGGCAGACTCGATTTCTGGCCGGATGGCAGCATTCTCAAGTTGCACCAGCGCGGTATACCAGGCATCGTACGTCTTGGCCTCAAATTTCAAAACGTGAGGTGGCAGTTTGCAATCCGGCCATGTCTTAGCGGCACCTTCAACCAGCGACTGCACGACATTCGGGCGCTTGTCAATTTGTCGGCTATGGTAGTCTTTGGTAAGGAGAGCCACCATGCCACGCTCTAAATCGGCACGCTCGTCCCGCATTGTCGCAGACCAATACATGGGGAAAATGGTGACCCAGAGTTGGTGTGCGAGCTGGTTATCGACATGTTGAAGTTGCATCAGTGGTTCGACAACATCTCGAACCTTAACATCGCCCAGTTCGGAAACGAAACGCCGATGGTTGGCCATGAAAGCTTCGAATTTGTCGTCTGGCATCATGTTAGGTTCCCTGGTATCCTTGTCTTTGGGATACACGGCAGCAAGCTGTGATGCCGATATAATCCTGAAATCGTCCTGGTGAAGTTGTATATTAGTGTTCAACTCGACTGCACCAAGCAGAAGCTGAGAGGCCTGAGCCAACCAGTACGAGTCCGCAAGCGTGTCCCAATTTTGTGACGTCAACACATAGGACAGGCGAACACTAGCAGTCTTTGACAAGCTCTTGTCAAAGATGGACATGAAGCGATTTCGCATTTCGACATCAGCCGCGCGGGTGCCGATAAGGAAGGCATGCTCCATTCGCACCGTCAGTTCTGTACGAGTAATTTTAGGGTCTTCATATATGCGAATGACAAGGTCCAAGAACTTGGAGAGCATGGTAGAGTCACTCCTATGTTCAAAAGAGAGCATCTTATGGAGAACAGCCGTTTTCTCTTTAAGAGTAGGCCATGTGCCCTCGGAGCGGAACACCCATCCCTCCACCATGTTCAAAATTTCCGTGCAGAGGTCGATATGCATCGACTTTTCGACGAGTGTCGCAAGTACGCTGAGAAACGGTCGCCTGCTGTCACCAAGGGTTTCCATTCTTAAGGCTACAGTTTGAATCTCCTTGATCATGAGCTTGGTCTGAATTTCCAAATCATACGCAGACATCTCCCCAGACGCAGAGTTTCCGTCCTGGCCACGGTTCCCCTGGTTGACGGCCTGGCCAGCCGCAGCATTATAGTGTTGGACATGCTCCCGTGCGTGCTTGCTTTGCAGAGCTTTCATCAGGGCCGGAATGTGCTGATCAATGACGGCTGGCTTGCGATTTCCCATGGACCAGAGCATATTGACACCAGAAACATACGAGCTCCCATTCATAGCCTCTGTAGCCGCCTGTGACAGGTAAGAAATAATCTCCGACGTTTGAACCTCAGTCTCGCCATCTGCATCCGCGTCCTCCATAGGAGTGTCCTCTGGAACTGCGTCGAGAACTCGCTTGACAATGGACTTGAGGTCACGGCCATCATCGTATTCCTTGTCTGCGAGATGCAGGCAGTCTTGGATCTCTGGGTTCTCGCATTTCAAACATTTTTCCAGAACTTTCTGTACCGCGGCAATGTTCTTCTGCACCCAATCATCCGACTTGAAATTGAGAACAATCCGCACAACTTGCAGCGTGTTGATAATATTTGTCAGGAACTTCTCATCGTATTTCTCCTTATCAGTTGGGTCGGCATTGAGAAAACTCTGGGTCTTCTCGCTGCCAAGAATGACATCAGTGACATTGGGGAAGAGGTCAAGCTCCAGATCGCCCCAGTATTGAGGCTGCACCAAATTGTACAACAAGGTCATTGCCTTTTTGCATAGTTCGGTGCTTTGAGGGGGAAGAGGCAAGGAGGGCGCGCTATGTTCGCGAGGTTTGGCAGAAGGCAGCTGATATCGTTCGTTGAGCTGTGCAATGAACTCAACGAGATATTTTATCATCTTTTGTCGAAAGATTTGTGGAATCTGGTACTCATTTCGCTCTCCTCCCGGTGCATTTTGTCTAACCGTAGGTGGAGAGGACATTGGCAGGTTGCTATCCAGTTTCCTCTTCCTAGACGTTGGCGATTCGGACGGATCTCGGCCTGCGGCTGGTGAGCCAGTCTTGCCTTCGACACGCCACTGCTCCCATCGCCAAATCAGCCACATCATGTTCAGCGCAAGCTTTTTACTCTCATAGGACGGGTTAGGAGGTGCAGCCACCTTTCTGAGGGAGGTAATGATTACAATCGCATACTTGTCCCGGGCGTCATAAAACAGATCAGGGTGTCTGACCAAGAAGTGGAAAATACTAGTCATTTGCTGAACATTTTGACCCTCATCCGCGAGAATGCGACGAGGTGCGACGGCCCAGGCAGCATTTCGTTCATTCGGACCCCCTCCGCATCGCTTGGGTAGAACAGGAGCAATAAGCTCCAACGCCTGTGTGACCAAAGCCCGCCCTTCGTTTTGATTTGTCTTAAGCAGTGACAGATACACCTGACTGACAATCTTTGGAGGTGTTTCGTAATGAGCAATGAAGTAACCAATCACCACATATGCTGCATGTTTGTTGATAACATCTTCGAGGCGGATAAATGTCCATCCAAACTTGATAATATCCTTTCTTGCCTCTTGAAGTACAGTGTGGTAGTACTTGACAAGCATTGCCGACAGCTGCAACACCTCAAAACGCGTGTGGTCAATTCCAGGCTGTGATTGATCATCAGGTGACAAGTCAGGATGCACTTTCCAGATTTTGCTGCTAACAGCGTCAATAACCGATCGATCCATGAATCGCTGTCCTTTCGCCTGTTCCGGCTGATTCCAGTGTCGCATAACATCCATAGCGACAATGGGATTAGCGACGTAGTGAAGCAAAAATTGCTTTGTCTTATTCGAAGCAAATCTCCCCGAATATGTCTCCAAGCAACGCAGGAATGCGGATTTCCAAAACTCTATTGATTCGCTCATGAGAATCTTCTCGTAGATGAAAGCAAACAAGCAGTGTGTGGGCCGAAGCTCGTTGCTTGTAACCGACTCGACGAGGCTGAACAAGACATCAAGATCCTTGGGAGTCCTCTCCAGGGACTTGACCAAGACGTTCATCAACTGCTCCGCGGCTTGGTATGCAGGTAATCGGAGGGTAGCAGGGAGAGTATAATTGCGAATGTGGCCCTCTAGCTCTTTGCCCATGCTCTTCATCCACGTCGTGTTTTCTTTCTTGTCCATCCACGAGTTAGTGTTCTCGAAGTAGCTGAGAGAGTCCAAAATATGGACGGCATTAACAATGCCAATAAACTTCTTCTCAACACCTTGGCCCGCTAGCTCATTACACTTTGTCATTAAGGCACCGAGACCATCTATTGCTGCGTCTCGCAAAGGGCCGCTCTCTGGGTGTCTAAGGACCTGAGCCAGAAGTCTTCCATATTTGAGCTCATCTAGCTTTCCGAGCAAGAAGGTCCAAACCTCCTTAGGATACCTGTTGAGGTACAGATATATGGGTTGACGGAAAGGACTTTGGATTGTTCGACGGAGCTTCTCCTCAAGTCCAAGGAAGCAATCAATTAGACGCTCCTTGAATGCTTCGGCGGGAGCTGGCAAAAGATGAAAGATGTTGAGAATAGCCGTAATGACCTTCATTTGTTGATGCTGCTCAAAAAATGTAAAAGAAATCTGCTGCCATGCATTAGGTTCCACAATTGAGTCGATCTGGTCCAACAGGCGAGCTCCGATCTCAACCTTGAAATAGCTGGTGAGCAACTTCAGCAGCCTAGAGAGGTTATCCAGGCCATGGACACTGAGTCGCTTTGGATCAGATAGGCTTGCTAGAACCGGTCGAAGCCCACCTTGTAGCAGATCCTTCGGTAGACGCCTGTCAACCGCCAATACAGATCTTAGCGCGTCATTAGCGGCAGCAATTGTCGGCTTTGACTCCGAGTATAAGCATTTGAAGAAGACTGAAAGAATCTTCCCTTTGATAGGGTTGTTTGCAAACTCTTCAAACGTCATTGCCGTGCTCAGTAGCCTAATGCATGATACGCGCAGGTTTACAATGTGATCGTGGGTGCGATACTCTGCCGGCTTATTTGCCAAGGAATCATCATTTGCATCAGCCAGGGCAAGAGACTCCATCAATAGACGAGTGAGGTTGTCGTCAAACTTGACCCAGTCGTTCTTTAGGCTCATGTGGTATGTCATTGCGTTGATGTATCCAATCTGAATGCTAAAAGGCAGTGCCCGCAACGGTTTAGAGTAAATTGGTTGCAAAAAACGCTCCTTGTAAGGTTCCAACAGTTCCCAGACTTCGCATTCAGCAGCTTTGGCTATTAGTTCGAGCGAATTCTTGGCGGTTTCACGAACAAACTTGTTCATGTGGGACAGCTCATTGTTAAACAGCATACAAATTTGGGCCAGTCTGGACTGCTTCACGGGAGGCTGTCCCGGCTGGGCTTGAACGGGAAGGGCATCTTCCTTCTTGATGTTCTTGGTAATGCGCTTCAACAAGACCTCCAAGCTTGTCTCGGCGAGACACCTCGTTTTTTCAGGAAGATCTTGTGGCATGTCTTTGATCACATACAAGAGGGCGCGAATAAATTCCATTTGCTTTGACGCCACCCACGCGTCGCCAAAGTCGAGCTCCGTAAGGAGGAAGTTGATGCCAAGGCTGCCACCGGTCTTTGTAAACCACTCTTCCTCGTAGCAACTGTGGCAAAAGGTACCGCAAAGGTGAGTAAATAGGGGTAGTCGGCCAACATTGCTCTCAGATCCGAAGATGATGCCAATATTCTTGTACAGCTCGCGAATAGCCTTCTTCGCGGCTTCTCGGACATCCGGATGATCAGAAGCCAAAGACTCAACGATTGCATCTGACAAAATCCGCGTATCGATACAAAGGGGGCCCTCTCCAGCCTTGGGATCAAAGGGACTAAAGTTTCGCTTAAGGTCCACCAAGGATCGGCCTACTTCTATGACAGCAAAGTGTCGGCAGAGGTCCATGAGAAATGTATCCGCCTCGTCTTTGAACCTAGGGAGAGAATGAGCAAACACGACTGCCTTGAGGAGTTGTTTTGTTATCTTGTCTTGCACGTCCTTCTTTGGGATGGATTTATCGCGGTTCGTCACTTCGAATGGAGCAAAATGAATCTCCATTTTTCGGGCCAAGAAGTCCTGTGCCTGGAGACGAACGATTCGGGGAAGGTCTTCTGGCAGTTGATCATAGCCGATTCGAAGTTTGACTTGTGACATAATCAAATGGAGCGCTTGCTTCTTATAATATTCATCATAGACGCGAAGATTTTGGCTATTTTTTCCCATTTTCGGGGCCTCCATTAGCTTCTGGATGGCACTGTCGATACCGAGATCTGCCGGGAACGCTCTATCTTTTTTAGATCCAATCAGGCGCATATCGAAGCTTGACGGATCGTCGGCATAACCTCTGTAGGTAAGTGGAACCGCGCCAGTCATAAACTTTCGGTTTCTACCACCTAGTTTGCCCAATATTCTCATGGTAGTGTGAGCATGAAAATGGCTGTAGGGGTGAGGACGGAGGTGATTGAAGAGTGCAGTCATGAGCTCATCAATGACAGGCGCCATAATAGGGTCGAGATAGTCAGCGGTTAAGTTATCGACACAAAGCTCGAGTGTCCGAAGCCCCTGGCCAACGAGGTCAGTGCCAGCCCTCAAAGCAACAACTAGTGGTCGCATCAGAAAGCTCAGATGTGGCAACAGGTGGCTCAGACGCGCGGGAACAGTCAAACACAGTTCCACGTACAAGTCTCGCTCAGATGGTTTGCGAGCAGCCATGAGCAAGTTGTTAAGAACGTCCAGGAGCATTTCCAGTAAGGGTAGAATCTGCTTGTACAATTGCTCAAACTTGCCGCCGCCAATACTTCGAAAGAGAGATCTCAATAGGAGAAAGTAATTCATTGGCTCCTCTGCCTTTGTCGACAACTCGATAGATTTGGTGACAATGTTGACCACGTGTGGCAAAAGAACCTGCTCGTTCTGCTGAGCAAAAAGGGTCACGGCCATGAATGCCAGCTTGAAAAGTCGCAACAATATCGACGACTTTTTGACATCTGCTGAACCCACTTCATCGATTCGGTCCATAAGAAATTGGAGGAGCATACCACAAAAACTAGGCGAAGTCGCTTCACTGGCTAGGAAAAACTGGGGTATATGTAATAATCCGGTATGCTCAAAGATCATGTCATAAAGTCGTGGGATCTCTTGCTGAAATACTTCGTGGAATGTAGCGGGGTCGATGCAGTGGAAGACAGTAGCAAACGTTTCAAGCAGATCCTTTTCTTCCTTGGTACTAGACACCATGTAGAAGTTTGCCATGTACTCGACCGGAGACGCGTATTGTGACTCGGTGGCCGGCTTTTCAATCTCGTAATACCGGAAGACGTATGCACCCTCCCTGAACAGTTTAATGATGACTTTGACCTCCTCTGCGGTAAACCCATAAGAAACGTCTGTCCAGTGCGAAGGCGCATTCTGAGGATCAATAGGGGTGCCAATATTGCAGGTTCTTAGCTGGTAGAATGTATTCTTCAGACCATTCATCAAGTTCCGGAAAAGAAACTTATTATCAATCACAGGATCTGCACCTCGATCTCTGGGGTTAGATATCTTGATAGGCACAGCGGAAAATATGTCAGTCTCATCCCAGTTTGGTCGCGTCTCCTTGTCGGCAAGATAGGGCTCTTGAGTACCGGCCTCTGCCAGATATTGTTTCGACAACTTCACCGCGTTTGGGTACTGTCGGTTCATGGCAGCAAATTTATCACCAATGGCATTCAAGATCATCATGAGGTAGTGTCTTGCGTCAACTTTATTCGGCAGCTTGGCAATGCACTCGGCCATGTTGAGCAATAGCTTCGCGCTCATGGTTTGAAAGCTAGTGCCCGGGAAGTTGTCCTGAAGATTTCGGGTGTACACTTCGACGGTTTTGCGGATCTGTTCTGGACTCAATGAATCTCGAACATGGTGAATAAGATCAGCCAGCATGCTGTATGCAAGTGGTCTCATAGTCTCGTAGACTGTCAGGCCATCGCCAGTGAGCGTTCGTTCATCAAGAAGTTCGTCAATCTTTGGCAAGAAGATTTTTCGAAAGTTGTAGTTGATAATATGTCGAATGGCAATTAGAAGTTCCTTTCTTGTACCTGACTTCTCGCGGGGGCAGTCTTTCAACAGGCGTATCACGACATCTGGCAACGTGGGCAGGAAATCGTTTAGTTGCTGTGAGTATTGGCGCAAGAGATACGCGAGAAAGCTCATGGTCTTAACTTGTGCGGTAATGAAATCGCCGTATGCTGCTCGTTGATCTGCCTTGATGCCCTGGCTGACACCAGTGTGAACTTGGCCCTTGGCTGCAGCCTCTGCGTGAGCTTGCTTTTGAGCGCTGGCCTCGATAAGTAGAACTCGTTTGATCAATGGCACAAACGCTTTCACGTTCTGTTGCACCGTGTTGCGGTAAATCTGGAATATCGAGACGACGATAATTGGACATTCAGAAAGAACTTTAAAAGATTGCATTCCCTTGAGCAACGGCCGATTCTGCTGCTGAGGGTCGGCGCCAAGATCTGAAACTGATGCTACCGGCGAGCCGGGTCGAGGGGATTGAAAATTGGTCTGCGAGCCGCCTGGTGTTGAGGGCGCGCCAGTTTGTGACGTTGCCGTCGAGCTCGCATTGTCGAGTTGTTCCCTCACCACCTTTTCCATCTGCTCGAAGAGCTCTTGTATTAGGGACAGGAACTGCTGTACCCTGCCTTGCAGCACCTTGTGTTGATGGCGCATAATGTCAGACGTAATTTTGACGCAAAGAGTAGCATTTTCCTCATTGTCGGTGCGAACCAGTTGCATTAATAAATCGACGATCTCCTCGGCGTACGGTTCGAATGGTTCAACTGGACTAGAAGAAGTGGGCAACCGATGAAGAACTTCTAAAATACAGTGGCGCAGTTTCTACACCACGGGTCAGATATCTTTGTCCGTAGGTTGTTATGACAGGTAGCACAAACCTGCTCTGGTGAGTTGCTTTGAAAAATGCATGGTCCGCGAAGGATGTTGATGAAGATTGGCATCAATCGCTTGAGAAACGGTGTGTATATCGGTCCGCTGGTGTAGTGCTCCAGACTGTCGCGTAATGTTGTCGCCGCCTCTAGTTTAAGTCTAGCATCTTTACACGCATACGATGTTAGCACAGCGGGATCAAGTCGATGGGCGGAGCGGTCATGGGAGAAGCATGTCATCACCATACCTATATCTGCTGTGCTTAGTCGCTTTACGACGTCATCAATAGTGGTTCCCGACATGGCTGCATCATCGGCGTCCACGAGACGCGGCTATTTCTTCCATGCGAAACAGGTCCAGTCGTGGTGCTTCGTAGCGGTCGGTAGGCACAAATTGCAGTACGGTGGATCGCAAACCTGCGGCCTGCCTGTATCGCAAAGTTGACGGAGCTCAAATAGATGACAGAAGAGGAAAAAAAAAGAGTGTGTTCTAATAAGACAAGATATTAAGAAAAGAAAACTCTTCAGACCCCGTGGCGTTAAAAGTGATGTTTGTCTGCTGCGTAAGGTTCGGATGCGAAAAGCTTGTCGTTAGGATGCACCGAGTTTTGCTTGCCTGCAGCTTGAATCTCGACGAGGGACGTGAAGGGACTCGCGTTGAAAATTAAGAAAGCATTGAATCCGGGGGCCGTGGCCGCCAATTCCAATTGCGCTAGGACGTGCAACAATATTGATCCGGCGCTAATGCTGCACACGCCCCTCCAATACAGTGTGAATATAGTGCATATCTTATCTTATCTTATCCGGCACCAGGCACCAGGGGTTTTCACTACCCTAGACTTGCAAAAGTGATTCAGATACTGTATCGGATTCGCATTGAAAGTTGCCGGGAAAGTCTTGAGATCAAAGTGTATTTTGACTATTCGAGTAACTGTTAGGATACAGAAATGCCATGACTTAATACTAGAGAAAGTACGCTGATCATCTCGCCTCTGCGTCGTCTCCGCTTCGGAGGCTTAAGCCAGCGCCACGGACCTTTATTACATAATGTCACGCTTCACATCTCCCCAACACACACTCATGTACGAGACTTATCCTTCCAGAGAACCTTGCAACCTAAAAGTCCGCGACGAACCTGCACTACTGAATTTTCAACCGTGTCACGCAAAGCACATCGCAGGCCGCAATGAGTGGAGAAGGTACGGCCTTCGTGTATGGTATGAGCAAGTCATTATCCATTGGTAGGAGACACAGATGATGGCTAACGCACGGTGCAGGCACTTTGGTGAGACACCAAGGCTTCCCGATGATATAAACGGACTAACATTTGTCAAGATGGCGCCGGAGATCTTCTTCAGCGTCTGCTACGGCGACCAGAATCCACCTGCAGCAATCCGCGACCTCCACACTTTTACACCCGCGATACTTGAAGATTATTGCCGTCACAGAGTGCAATATGCAGATTATCCAGCAGCTGTTCCAGATAAGGGACACAAAATACGCGGGATATATGTTACGGGATTGACGGATGCCAACATGAAAAAATTAGATTACTTTGAAGGCTCAGAATATGAACGACGCACAGTCAAGGTACGAGTGCTTGTGAAAGATGGAGGCAAGGAAGTGCTAGGGCCAGAGAAGAGCGCGTCAGTATATGTATTTTTGAAGCCCAATGAGCTGGAGAGGGGTGAATGGGATTTTGAAGAGTTTCGGCGGGAGAAAATGAAGATCTGGACCCGTGGTGATTGGGCCTTTGGTACGTTTGTTTGCAATCACGGAAATGACACTGCTAACGATTTGGACAAAGACGATGACGAAAAAGCTGCTGTGAACGGCGTGGCTTAACCGGCGACATTGATGACTGGTTCACACGCTGTGTTTTGTTTCTGGAAAGAAGCCTTACCATGAAAGGCAGCACCGCGCGATCGTGATGAAAGAACAAAAGATCTGTATGAAAGCGACATGCGATTTGTGCACGTTTATGATAAAACGAGGATGAAATCTAAGATACGTGGTAGACGACAAAGAAGAGCCGAACATCAAACAACGTGTTAGCCACACAATGACTTCATTGCAAGACTCCTTAGGTAGGTAAACACAATACCACATTTTTGCATTATTCCTCTCCATTGTCATTGTTATTGTCGAGAGCCCAAGAAAATGGATGATGTGACTGGGACAAACTCCCCTCACAAGTGTCTGGCGAATGCAAGTTCCCTCCATTTACTGCACGAAGTAGAATGCTGCCATTATTAGATCCGGAACTTGGCAACCTGTATTCTACAAGAGTTTTGACCTCGCCGAGTGGGAAGCGCTTCCGTCCGTACCGAGTACTCCATACCGAGTTGACGGCCCAAACCTGGCAAAACCGTCGTCATTGTAGATTGATTGTGCGGAGGAGGGTGGATCAGAGCGCACGAGGGTCTGCCTGGTGCTCCGTACTCTTTCCGCTTGGAAACCACCAATATCAGACGAACCTTGTTCAATGCTGGTGGATTGCGAAGGTCAGGGACTTAGGGGACGCAGGGGGCAAGCGGATCTGAGACCAGTGACGATTCTGGCCTAGATTATCATTTCGGCCCGCACTCAACGTGGCTTGAGGATCGTGGCCGTGGTTGTAGTGACGATTGACAGCTCGGACGGAAACCCGTGACATGATCCAAAGGCCAAGCATTTCTGGAGAGATATCTGCATGCCTCCTGCATACCGGGATAAGCAAAAAAAGTATGAAATTCGCAATTTTGCGGGTGGATCGGTTTGTATTGAGCTTCTTATTGTCGTGGTCAGTTGGCAGTCGGTTGACACCAGATGTTGACTGGACAAGAAAATCCCGAGTGCGCTGGGTGCTCCAAAACTTGACTCGCGTCGTCTAGCTGCAGGGTGGACGCAGCTGCCCCCCTGGCAGTGCGAAAAGGTCATGCATGATGGAATGATGGAAGACGGAAAGGCGGTTGGCTCTGCTGGCAGTATAGCGAGTACGATGTGTGCACTTCCAAGGTTGGTACGGAGTAACTACAATATCCTGAATCAGGCAAATAATGGCCAACCGCGGGATGCAAGTGCCGGCAGCTGGCAAATGTCAAGCTGGCGGCGGCTAAGGATGGATTGATGGATTGATGATAGGTTACGATGGCTTTAGCCTGAAACCTTTCAATGTTACCTCTTCCCCCCTCAGAACCCAGTAACTTGGTATTCAATGTTCTCTTGGTGTCCAAGCCACGCGTGAACAAACAGAGCAATTTGAACTGCTACGGAGTACTAGAACCGGACTCCTACTCGGTACTCCGAACACCACCAAACATCTCTATCCATGAACAAGCAGCAGCCACCACTCAATCAAGGGCTACTTGTTGCGCGCCACCAGCTTCCGCATGCGGACCACGCACAAGCCTATCGATCTGAATGCCCCGTTTGAAACCCTGCCTGGTTTCACCACCATGTTCTCTTTTGATAATTGTTTGTTATGCACTACGGAGTACGGAGTACCTGCACAATACTCCGTAGTATTCCTGTTTCCCCACCCTGTGTGTTGCACGGCTGATCCTCAGCAGAACCCTTGGTGCCCTGCAGGTCTGCAGATGCAGGGAGTCGAACAACTCGACATGGCTGACCATGCTTGTGCAGGCCGTTGTCGACCCCTGCAACGACTGCAAGATAAACCGGCGATGCTGTCTCACTTCCAAGGCTTCGGTAGGGCAATTCAAAGGAGGAGAGGAGGACATAATAGGCAGGAAGAGTCGTGGGCTACACAAATTTGCCCAAGCCAGCTACGCGGCATTGCAGCTCTCATGTCAGTGCGGTCACCGGTTCAAAAACCGGACGCGGGCGGCCTCTGCCATAGCCCACTGCCTGCGATACTGTCCTGTCTATTTTCTATGTGGATGATGGACACGGGGCATAAGCCGGGGAATGTTCGGCCAAACATACCGACGAATTATGGCCTTCTGCGCCATGTCTTGGCTACACGAGGACACTCCAATGCTCAGCTCGGGCGAGCAATGATCGATTACATTCTCTGGCTACAGGAAGCAAACAGATGTGGTCAGAAACACGCAAAACTGCTCCGAACGAGTGAATGTGGTTCTCCGTGGGCCTCGCAGCTCCCAGCCCCCAAATTCCTCGGAGTGGCGTTTCGCAGAACCACAACCGTGATGCCCATGGCCAACACCAAGTACTAGTCATCTGTAAAAATGCCTATCCACGGATGATGACGGCTAATAGTGCTCCGTTCATGTACTCCGTACTTAGTGTGGACTATGAGAAGCATGACATCAGCTCGTCCATGAAGTCGTGGCAACTGGTCATGACGACTAGCTGCAGGATGTATCCACACGGGCACGGCGGTCGGGACAGTCCAACTTGTCAGGGGCTTCAGGGCGGTCTGATTGGGGACTGGAAACCACGACGATTTCGAGGGACGACGCTGGGCCAATACCATCCAGAGGTGCCCAAAGAAACGGAAACACACAAGCGTTTGTCCCGGGGACGGGCAAGGGCCTGTGATTTCTCTTGCCACGATAAAAAAAACAAATCGTCACGACACATTCTGGAACGAATCGAATCCCCAGCGAGGCTCACCTTGCCAGCAAGCAATCTTCACACCATGGTCTTCTCGACTGGTGGACAAGACCGTCGCAACCGTTGGCTCATGGCTTTGAGCACAGACTCGTCCTGCTTGCTTGTCTTGCCACGGTCTTTGTGCTGTGCGCACCTTTCACAAGGTGGCAACCATGTTCAGAAGCTAAAGAAGCGTTCACTGGACTAAGGCGCCTGGGGTTCATCAGATGGACTGACTATCCACATGGTGCACACTAGTTACTGGTGCTAGTCGTCTACGAGCCAGTTTGAGGCTCTGAAACTGCAGCCTATCGGCATCGACAGCATCGACATTTCCTTCAAACATTCTGTTTTGTGTACGGAGTATGCCCCTTGCAGATCTGCCGCGGCTCGAAACCATGCGGGGGTAGCTTCTGTGCCTGAACTGGCTGGCCATGACGCCCTGTCCCACACATCGTCTCTGCAACACCACCATCGGGATTCCATGAGAGGCTCGTGTTCAATGGTGACATGGGATGGCTCCTATGCTGAGACTTTGAGACTGCCCCTCCTCCTCGGTTCTGTCCAATGATTCTTCGTCAATGGTCCGGTCTGGGACGCACTTCTTTGCTTGCTTGTTCAATCACAGTGTTGAACAAGCACCAAAACAATGAGGCAGACCACACCTTGGAATGCACAATCGTCCTGGTGTATAAGAGGGTCTGTGTCCCCCGACCTTCGGCCTGTATATCTGTTCTGCATCCCGACACCAGTACTACTGTCCTTTCTTTGAACCGTCATTTGTCGTCGAGACAACCTACACTCCCTTTTCCAGCATTTATTATTATTATTATTATTTAACCGCCAAGGCTAGACCTTGTTTGCTTCGACCGACGAGCTCTACAGATTCCTCTGGTTTAGAAATCGTAGACATCACCAGTTTTGCCACCTAGTGTGTTGCAGCTCACTGGCACTTTTTCGTTGTTGTAAGTCGGCCAAGTCGGCAAATTTGACCTTGGGATCCTTGATGCCAAATGCTAATTCTGCTGGCCTCGGTAGCACACTCCTTGCTCGAATACGCTGATTCTTGACAACTTTCAAGTTTTTCTTTCCTCTTGTTTCGTGGACAATACTCTCATTTTTTTGCATAGCAACATTGGACTTTTTCGTCTGGCGCGTTTCAGTTTCCATCGTTCACCTTGCCCTAATTCAAAATGTTGAAGAAGATTGTACTTGCTGGCCTAGTTTCTTCTTCCAGTGCCCACATCAAATTGAGAGCACCTGTTCCTTTCCAATTTCCGGACAAGGAACATAGTCTGGGTCCCCTCCTGGCCGATGGCACTGATTTCCCTTGCAAAAACGCCATATACGACGCTCCGACTCCAAGCAACGAATTTGCTCAGGGCAGCGACCAGACGCTGAAGTTCATTGGAAGTGCTGCCCATGCTGGTGGTTCGTGTCAAGTGTCTATTACGACTGATCTGAAGCCGAGTAAAAACTCTGTTTGGAAGGTTATCAAGTCCATTGAAGGTGGATGTCCTGGCAAAAATTTATCGGACAATATTTTGCCGGCCAACTCGGAGCTTCTTACTCCTTTTGAATATTCCTACACCATTCCAAAGGACCTAGCCGCCGGCAAATACACCCTTGCCTGGACTTGGTTTAATAAGATTGGCAACCGAGAGATGTACATGAACTGTGCTCCGATCAGCGTTACTGGCTCTGGCGGTTCCAAGGATGCCTTGGGAACTTTGCCCGATATGTTCGTCGCTAACATCGGTAATGGCTGTGGAACCTTGGCAAACACCGATTTGAAGTTCCCTAATCCGGGGAAGGATCTTGATCAATTCGGCCAGCAAACCCCAGCTGCTTTGAAGGGACCGACGGGTAACTGCGCTGTCGCCAGTGGTCCCAAGCCGACTGGTGGTTCCCAGCCAACGGGTGCTCCTCAGCCTACTTCTGCTCCTCGGCCTACGTCTTCTGCCGGTGATGCACCTCCCGCCGACCCCAACGGGACGATCCCTGGCGGAGTTTTCATCACCAAAATCCCAGGACAAGCCAGCCAACCTTCTGTGACAAGCCAGCCACAGACTAGCCAACCTGAAGACACATGCGAAGAAGAAGCCAGCCAACCCACTGTCACAAGCCAGGCACAGACTAGTCAACCTGATGTGACATGCGAAGAAGAAGCTAGTCAACCTGCTGTGACAAGCCAGGCACAGGCTAGCCAACCTATTGTGACATGCGAAGAAGAAGCTACTGCTGTGACAAGCCAGCCACAGCCTAGCCAACCGGCTGTCACAACCCAGGCACAGCCTAGCCAACCTGATGTCGCAAGCCAGGTGCCTGTTCCTACCACTGCCGACAGCCCTCCTCCCACGACCACCGGGACTGGCGGCGGCAACGCGGGGGGCTTCGCTGCTGGCACTTCTTGTAGTACGGAAGGGATGTGGAATTGTATCGGCGGAAACTCATTCCAGCGCTGTGGTGGCGGCAAGTGGTCTACTCCCCAGGGGGTGGCAGCCGGAACCAAGTGCTCTCCTGGACAGTCACCGGACTTCAAATTGGATGTCGTTCAGGCCAACAAGCGCAGTCTTCGCCGCAGTATGCGCTCCTCTGCATAAGCCCAGAAAGGCCATGGTTGGAACAGTTTGAGCTCAAGGACAAGACGGAACGGTCGCCACGAGATTTACTAAGGCTCCCAGGAACAAGACAAAAAAAAAAAAAAAAAAAGGGGGGGGGGGG